ATCATTGAGTGTCTTTTAAAGAAGAAGAAGTTCATCTCAGAACATGTTATAAAGAGAGTCTCATGATAATTCAGAGTTCTTACTGTTCTTCTTTTTCAACTTGATACTGTAGTTCACTTCTGAATCTTGTAAGAGAGATAGATTTGTAGCATTATTATCTTATCAGAAGATATCTAGATATTCATGATATTATTAAGAGAGTTTCATACAAGAATCTGTTATTATAACACAGAATAACTTTTCTAGAGTCTTTTTAATATCAGTTAAACTGATGAAATAGATTGATATATAATTCTGCTATCAGTAATTCTTTCAGTGACTTCTTTTTCTAAGTATTTCATAGGCATTGACAGAGGTCTGTGTCAGATTCATAGTCTTATGAATATTATCCTTGTGAACTCTATCATTATTAGAGAATATTAAACTTCTATTTCAAGCATTTAATAAGATATCTTATTCAGATAGCCAGACAAGTTCTAATATAAGATTATAATCAAGATTATCAACTTTATATGCATAGACATCTTCACACTGATATTCTCTGATATCTATATTTAGTTTCATCATGTAACGGATATAAACATCTTTTAAATTATTCAATTCTGCAAGAAGTCAGAGTTTTAATAAGAAGATACACTGAAGATTATAATATCTCATAACTGAAGATTTAATCATTGCATAGTAGCATAGACTGCTGTCTATTATAATCTTTATATTATACATGTTATTAATCACAGTAAATACAAGAATCACATTCATTATCATTTTCTCTTCAAATCATTGTTGTCTGATCTCTTCAAGCTTCTGTTTATAAATTTGAACAGAAGCTAATCTTTTCTCTGTTTCACTGAGATATTCTCATAGTTATCTTCTGAATCTTTCTTCACTGTAATGTGATTGACATGAACAGATGCTGATTCATTCTTTAAGCAAGAAGACACTGATCTTTCTCTTGATTGAGAAGATACATAGATTAATTAACAGTTGAAAGTGATATATTCTGATCAGTTACAGTTGATGCATACTTTACATTGATATCAATCAGTGACTTCTTCAGAAGTGATCTCAGAAACTCAGAAGCCTGTTCAAACAGCAGAAACTCTTGCTTCTATATAGACATTTAAATCTATTCAGTTCATAATATCTGCATCATTACTGTTACTTCTCTTCAGCACAGATATATAAGTGACTGAAATGTAACATCTTCTGTCACTGTTCTGTATACTCTTAAGCTTGATAAGACAGTCATTCAATATCTGAAGCTGTGTACAGAAGTCTTCATAAGTTAAGTCTTCATTTACACTTATAAAAGTCTGTAAGAGTTTAAAAGTTAATGTCTTCTTGAGCATGCTAATCTTTATTCAATTCTCTTAAGATTGATTATCTGCTTCTAAGATCTTGATATCAAAGTCAGGAATGAATATTATAAGAGAAATGTTTCTCTGTTAAGTACTCTGTAATCAATCTAATATCTTCTGTTGTATAACAGTGTCTTAAAACAGAATATCAAGATATTTCATGATATTGTCAGACATTTGCAATACTGATTCATATGCTTATATTTATAAATGAAACTTCTGTTTCATGTGATTCTTTAATTATTCATTAATATATCAATCTTAATTAATTAGTAAACTGATAGCATCTTTATCTATACTCAGTTTCATAAGCATTTTCATTCTTCATGATGAGTAGAGAGTGAGATCAGAAGTATTGAAATATACAGAAGTATTTAAGCATTCTTTCAGTACTTTTGTATTCAATTCTGTAGATGTTGAAATTGTATGAGTTTCTTATTATGATAATTGTTAAATCTCTTTATATTGATGTTATTGAGTTGCATGCATATCAGCTATTTATTATTATTATAGTTTCAACATTACTCAGAGTTACTGTGATACTGTATCTATACTTATATTCAGAGATTCTCTTATATTATTATTAGATATGATTATATCATTTATTAAATAATATAATATCTGTGAAATCTGAGAAAGTGTAATTATATAAATATCTTATACATCTGAGTGTTAGAACTCTCAGATCTTTTACTGACATTCTCTTTATAAGATCTTATTACAGAGTCAGAGTGACTGATAAGCAAGCTTCTATCTGAGAACTCAGTGTCTGCTTAACTGTGTTTCTTCTTCTTATATATTATTACACATTCAGATATCTCTTGATGAATAATTGTTTCTAATGAGAAGATAATACATGAATAATCATTTCTAATAAGAAGATAATGAATGTTTTTCTAGCATAAGAGCCCTATATCAAATAGATTAATATAATATATAGGTCTTATATAACAAAGGGAAAAACATTAAAGAAGAAAAAGAAAGAGAAAGTATGAGAATCAGTGATTAAAGTGAATATTTATATGTGTATATGATGGCATACGCGGTGGAGCTTCAGAGTGGAAGAATATACACGTGTTTATAGCGGCCGAGGATCGGCGATCAGAACATACATGTTCATAGCAGCCGAGGATCGGCGATCAGAAATGAAGTGATAGAAATCTATGAAGTGTACGGAATAGTCTATATGATTGATCAGGCGCAGCCTGTCACATGACTCTTCAGTAATCTGCAATACAATCTGTTAATAATTATTTCATAGTTCATCTCAGTATTTGTGTTGAGTTTTTCATAAATTTCATGACCTGGAATCAGATGTGAAGAATGAAGTGATTATTTATTATAATTAAAAGAGAGTATTCTGTATTGAATTGTAAATAATATAGACTTTGTAATTTACAGTGATTTCTTAAAGAGTTTATAAATCTTTAATAGAAGTAAAAAAAGTGAAAGAAGTGAATTCAGAAGATATGATAATAATTTAAGAAAGATAATAATTTATTTTCAATAACTGATCACTGATGTGTGTAAGAAGAATTAATATAAGAGAAAATAATCTTGTTTCTTAACTTAGTTATAATTTTAGTACTAACTCAGATTAAATATCATTGATATATAAAAGTAAATAAACAATCTTGATTAATCTCTATCATATTTCTTGAAATATATTAATATTGTAAAAGAGAGTGTTATCAAATTACATTATCAGATAATATTATTAAAAATATATTAATATTATGAATATTAATATGTCAGGTCACATGATCTGGCTTACTAATCCTTTCATCATATAACTTTCCACAAGCTAGTAACCTTTCAATCACACAAGCTTTACACCTTTCACAGGTTATGAGCCCTGTTTTGCATAAGATCACTGCCAATTCGGAATTCCTTGTCAATATAATTATTATTTAACTACTGCTTCATTTGATACACTCATCAGAAGTTAAAATCATCTTATTCTATCAGTATTAATATGTTTGAGATCTTGATGATCAATAATACTATTACTCACTTAAAAAAGAGACTTGCAGAAAACGCATTACATTTGCAAAAAAGCAAGAAAAGAGAATGATATTAGCAAGGATTCAATAAATGAATATCAAGACAGCGGATTCAATATGATCCCGCTCACACACATGTTCATGATCTCATGTTCTTTTCACTGAATCAGTTGCAGTTGATGATGATTCTTCACACTGATACTCTGCCAGTGAATATTCTTCTGAAGCCTTTGAAAGCTTTATTAATAAACACTCTGAAACACTCTCTCAATTCGAAGCTGGTTTGAATACAGCTTCTGACACAGTCAGACTGACCCTCCGATCTACTTGATAGCTTGATGCTGGTTCTCTTGATGAGAATAATGAACACTCAGATATCTACTGTTCAGACGAGGCAATATCAGATCAACAGATGAAGCATCTCAAGATAATACTTGAGATGAACAAGAGAAAGCAAAGAGTTCTAGAACTCAAACTACAACTGAAAAAACTCTGTCAACAGAGATTCTCTTCAGATTAATCACAGAATGTTAACAATCATTCTGTCATCATATTAACAGCTCATACAGTCACATGAAATTCTAATCTCAGTGAAAGATTGAAATTCAAACTTTATGAATCAGATAGCTGTGTTGATAAGACAATCTCTCAATTCAAGAAAGATGTTAAGAATACTGTGAGATCAAACAGTCTAACTGACATATTCAATTACATCACATGAAGCATCTTCATGAAATTGAAACTAGTTAATGCACAGTGTTGATATATGATAAAGAAACAACAGACTCAGAACCCTCTACAAAGAGATGATAAATAAGCATCATTCTGAGACATCAGAAACCGGTGGCTCTACACATTAATCTTGAACTTCTTGAGTGCAGGTGTCAGATCACATTTCTTCAAGTATGATGAAAATCAGATCACTTATACTCTATAAAATGCAATTGAACAGGAATACTCTGTTCTCAAAACATAGTTATGCTGTGAGACAGTTCTGAAATTCATGTCTCTTAGTGACACACAGGTCATCAATCTACACACATTCTTTGATAAGTTCTGATCTGTCATTCTGAAATTGAAGATGTTGAATGCTTCCCTCTCAGATGTGTGAATATTTGATATCTTCTACTCAGTTCTACTCAACAATTGAAGGAATTACATTCAGAAGAAGATAGAGAAGATACAGGATTTCAAATCCACAGCTGTGATATTGAATGTTGATCTTCTCATAAAGGAAATCCGTTTGCGGCTTCATTCTTCAAAAGATAAAAAGAATCTGCAGAATATAGATTCTGCGGCTAACACAGCTACAACAGCTACAACAGATACAATGATCACTACATCTATTAATTCAAACAACAATACATTGAATTCGGCCTCTAGAGGCCGTACTGAATGTGGCTATGATAGTACTCAAGAGAGCTTCTGAAATTATCAGAGATTAGAAAATCCATCTATCTATTCTGAATGTGAGAGATCTCACTTTGACAACTGTTAATTAATCAATTCAGACAGTGCTTCAGATAATTGAAGAATCTACAATGCTGTGAGAATAAAGAAATTCAAGGAAAAGAAGGAAAAGAACAATAGTGAGAGTGAGACTCAACTATTCATTACAGATGATTCAGAGACCTTTCAGATGACAAACCTTGCAGAGGTTATCAATGTGTCAGCCTGTTTTATGAAATCTCACAAGGATTTCTTCAACAGGCATTTATACATATCAAAAGATGTCATCTTTCAGAAGGACCTTTATCTTGCTGATTCATTGATATCAACTACTTTACACAATCTGAAGGTCCTACTCAATGCGGCCTGTAAAGTGGCTGTGGCAATTCCTTCAGAGACACCAGGCCTACTTACTGCAGCCTGTCAAGAGACTGCAGTGATTTCTGATTCATCAATTGATAATCTATTCATTGATGAGAAAATTCAACCTGAGTGTTCATTATTTCTCATACTCACTAATAATTGATGGATTGACTATGATATCTCCACGAGAATATCTACTCTTTTAGTGCAGAATACACTGAACTTCTCAGAACTCACAGTTGAATCTGATGATTCTCTGACATCTATAAGAAATATTACTACAGTAGAGAAAGCTTCAGTGAGAGACAGTCTTGAAGATCTACTCACTGATTCTGAGATCACTGCACTTCTGATTCTGAAAAACCTCACACATATCAAAGCTTTCATGGAATGAAAGTATTATTACAAGGCCTGTGTTAAAGAGATCAACTGTTTGAAATATACATGTTGAAAAGAGAATATAAAGAAGATAGAAGAATAGAGGGATAAAAAATGATGTATATTATGACTGGTTTTTCATTACTACACATTTTCCAGTTATTTTTTATACCTGTACTTGATTTGAAAGTGAATTTTGTAGATAGCATCATGTATAGTTACTCTGATGAGTGAGAGTGTCAGATCACATGATCTGGCTTACTAATTCTTTCATCATATAACTTTTCACAACCTAGCAATCTTTCAATCATACAAGCTTTACACCTTTCACACAATATTGAAAAAATGTTGATACTTATATATTATAGTGATTGGTGAATCATGATAGTTAAATATATATATATATATATATTATTTCTGACTTGATTACAACTTATACAATAATTTTTAAAAACTTAAAATTAATTTCAATTATTAATAATTATGAACTTATAACTAACTAATATAAAAAGAAAAAAACTGTTTCTACTTATTATCTTTCTTCTCTTTCTTATTCTTCTTATTATTCTCTATAATTTACTTCTTATTCTTCTTCTTCTTCTTCTTCTTCTTATTTAAGATAATAACTATCTCAAAATCTCTCTTCAATATCTTCTTAGAAAAGAGTTCTTACTGCTTTCTCTCAGTCAGATTAATCTGTATTTTAAAATCCTGCATTTTCTGATCTACTGTCTCAGGTTTCATCTCAGCAGTAAGTAGATTGACATGCTCAGAGAGTAGAACTATCTTCTCAATATTCTGAATTATAGAGTGCATTTGAGACCTGAATAAGATCTTAATTCTCTTCTTCTCTATCAGCTTCTGCTAATCAATTAGAGAACAGAAGTATTATTAAAAATCATTATCTCTTAATAAATAAAAAACTTATCAGATTTGACTTCTTTATCTCTTACTTTAACACTCTCTCAATTTTCTTCTATTACTGTTTATTTATAGTAATACTCTTCTTCTCTCTCTCTCTCTTCATCTTAATCTTAAATTATTCTCAGAACTTCTTCTGATCTTACTACTACTATATAAAACTCTTCACTATCTTCTTCTTCAATCTCTTATAAGTGATGTCATCTGCATTATTTCTATACTTAGTTCAGTCTAAATCTATCAGAAGTATTACTTAAAATTATTATCATTCTACTCTCTTATAAAGTCTCTTTAAGATATTATAACATATCTTACAATCTGTCTTCTCTTACTTAAATATCTTCTTCTTCTCTTTCTTCAATTGTGGTTCGGAAGAACGTACGACCGTCGGATAATAACACGGCCGCTTCCGAACTTGCTTACGAGTGTAAAGGGGTCATAGCGGCCACTAATTAATTTAGCATACAATATATAAGAAGCCAGTGTATGCCTGTAATTGTATACTGACTTAAGCAATCTTTGAATCACATCTGATAGCATGTCTAAAAATCAGTGAGAAGTGCAGGCTTCTTCAGAGTGTGATAATTTCATCTATAAAGTGATTTGTAGTTATCATGTCAGTGTGATTCTAGAACATCTCAAAAGATAGTGTATGAAGAGCAGTGAGTGAAAGAGTATCTGATTGATACTGCTTCACTTGTTAAGAGAAAACTTCACACTCAGGTGAATGTCACATATGTGAATAAATAAGATGTGAGAAAAGAAATGAGAGTGATGAATCAGATTCAAAGAAGACTGCTCTTCACTTAAAGAAATAAAAGAAGAGATGATCATCAGTGAAGTTATATAATGATAACAGAAATTATATAACAATATAGTAATATAATGATATAGTAATATAATGATATAGTAATATAATAATAGACATTGTATAATTAATGAGAAATCACTGAAATGAATATCTCTTCTAGCTGATATAAATAACACTCTTCTCTGCTATCTGAACTGAAAGATATGCAGAATCTCTCAGAGAGTTTACTTAAAGCAGTAAGAAAAGCAGCTGAAATCACTGAACTGAAATTGAAGCTCTGTACATGTATGAGAATTCTAAACAAGATTGAGACCTTGTGTACACAGTGGCAGGCTGAGGTAAAAGTTAAATAACAATTGGCATTCACTGCAGATCAAGTATTCACTATAAAGAGCTTCACTGATGTAATTAGACTGACCGTGTGACCGTGTCTGGGACCAGGATCAGATTTTTTGATAGTCTCATTACCAATTCGACTGATCCCATTACACGGTTTTAACATTAGATAGTAGTCCCATACTGTCCCAGTGAGACTTACTGTCTACTCTTGTCACATTTTCCAAATGGAATCATGATTTCCACTTCTCAATTTAAATTATTTTTATTGCTTTAAATGACTTTAAATCTCATTTGAGCATTATCAAAAAGCGTTACTTTTTAAAAAATTAAAAATAGTCTAAAAAAAACCTTAAAATGTCTAAAAATAGTAACTTTATGCCAAGAATGGGACTAAATGGGACCAAATGGGACCACTTTCTCATTTTTTTCAAGTCATGGTCTCATTTTAAAATCTGATATATAGTCACTTTGCATGTTTTTTTGATAGCCAGTCCCAGCAGGATTCACGCCAAGAAATGTATGGGACCAGACCAAATGGGATCAAACATGAAATTCATGGTCCCGGCGGCCAGTCTAGATGTAATCATCATCATTAATAAGAATAGAGAAAATCAGATCTTAGATCTGTAGTGAGAGATTGAATGTTTACACAGACAGATGACTATACTGAATCTGAAGATCTCATCATAATTATTCACAATCTCTTCAGAAGTATGCATATCATCAGAGACTGCTGTGCAGAATGAGAATCTGAGTATGAAATATATCAAGTCAGAAGATCTGCTAGAGTTATCAAGCTTTAATAAAGACTGAAAAAATAATGCTGTAATCAGCTGACTAAGTCAGATATAATTATATTATCAGATTGAATGTAAACTCACAGACAAATAGTTAATGAAATTTCAACAAGTCTTAAGATCTACTGCATTTCTATATGAAATAGCAAAGTCATTATAAATGACTGATGAAAAGATGAATCTTACAGATCTGAAGTGATATTCATTTCTATGAATATGAAATGAGTTTTTCAAATAAATCTTACACAACTTTGAGAAAGTGAATATATAAGATAAGTATTATAAATGCTTTACTAAGTATAGATAAGTGAGTGATCTTATATTATACTTCACACACTTCAGCTTATACTATCTTGTGTTAAATCAAGAGCTTTCAACATCTTTCAGTTTATAGATCTTCATTCATGATTTTATACCTGAGTTGAGAGTAGAATGAAAATGCTTAACCTCATAGTCAGATACAGTGAAGAAAGCATATAATATTCTCATTATACAGAAACAAGTGAGTCAATTGTAATAGAAAATACTGCAATTGAGTATGTCTCAGCAGAGAATAGATAATCAGACTTCTATAATATAAGTTATACACTCAGATATAATGAATCTAGATCTGAATGCTATTGCTAAAGCACTGAATTCTCTAAAAAAGAAATTCTCTGAGTGAAAATCTTAATATCATGAGCATTAAGCTTGCTTCAACTGTGAATATTAAACTTATAATATAAAAGATTACACTCAGCATGCACAGTCAAGAGAAGTAAGAGAGTTAAAAAACTAGCAGAATCAGTGAGCTTGAAGACACTCACTGATATTCTATAGAAAGTCTTCAAAGTGAAAGAGATGCTTATGTTAGATGACTCTCTGAATTCTGTGAATACTAAGAGAAAGCAGGCTTCTGACTGAGATATAAGTGAGAAGAAAGTGAACACTTATCTCAATGTCTTGAGGCCTGAAATGTTAATATATAAGAGACACTTGAATAAGAATTGAGAGATGACTGTAAAAGTATTAGCAGATATAGAAGCTTCTATACAATATATTAATAATTATATAATTCAAAGACTGAAAGAGGTTCACTGAGTGAAGAATCTCTGATATATAAGATTATCTGATAATTAATATTTGATATCATTTACAAGAGTAAGAGTTCTCTTGTACTTCAGAGAATGATCTTGCTATATTTAAGTGTGAGAGCTGCAGAATGTGAAATATGACCTTATTCTCAGACTTAATTGATATCAAAGATTCAATCTGCAGATTCAATCTGCAGATTCAATAACATACATATCATATATAGTTAACTGATAGAAAGAAAACAGTTCATACAATTCTATCAACTGATATAAGAAGAACATTTCACATTTCTGATATAGAAGAATTAAATCTGCTTATATATTAACAAGTAAAGAGAATAATTCACAAGATCTTATCTGAAAGCATTCTGTATGTCATACAGAACCTGAAAGCAGAGAAAACTAAGATAAAGAATATGCAGAAGAATAAGCATATGAAGAAGCTTCTGAAGAAGTATGAAAAGATCTTCTGAACAGATCTTTCACTGAAATTACTGCTGAAATGAGAATTCATACATGAGATTGACACAGAGAATGCAAAACCAGTTAATCAGAATGCATACTCTCTGTCACAAACATATCTTGAAGAACAGAAGTGTCAGATCACAGATCTTCTAGAACATAGTCTTATATAATTCTTATCAAGTATATAAGGCTTTTCAGTTCTATTTGTAAAAAAGAAAGATAAGAAGTGATGAATGTATATTAATTATTAAGCACTTAACAAGCTTATAATCAAGAATAAATATTCACTATTACAGATTTAATAACAGTTAAATACAGTTGAAAACATCTGATATCTATTAAAGATCAATCTTCTCTCAGAATACTGACAGATCTGTGTAGATAAACTGTCAGTCTCACAAATCATATTTAATACACAATGAGAGAAGTTTAAATTTCTGATAATATCATTCAGTCTGATAAATGTGTCTGTTATCTTTTAAACAATGATAAATATAATTCTTTATAAACAGAATGAAATCTCATATCTTATATATCTCAATGATATTCTAGTCTTTTCAAACTCATACAATGAATATCTGAAGCATCTTAATAAAGTGCTTATAACTCT